CGAAGCATCCGATTCTATCGTCGAATCCACTAAGCAGGGCATTTCAGATGTCCCGTCATCTGTTCTCTCCGGTTCGGAGTGGTACGAGACGCAGGCCTACAGGGCACTTAATCAGGCGCTGGGCCGATGCATTCGTCATCGAGGCGATTGGGGTGCCATCATTCTAGCCGAGGCACGTTTTGTTGAACAGCCGGAGCGTTACCTTTCCGGTATTTCTCGGTGGCTACGGAACCAGTAAATCTCTTGACTTAATTACTTTTCTAATGCAGCTTCCATCATGACATTGGACGATTTTGTCTGTCACAGATTCGTGGCTCACGAGAGGTGGTCAGATTTGCTGGTGGATTTGAGCAAGTTCGTTGAACGGATGACAAGTGTCAAGGCGACCTAATCGATTTCTTCGAAAAACTACTGAAACATTTTTTTGTAACTGGAGTCTTATTTTACTAGTAAATATGTTCAAGCCTATATTTTACCGCATTTTTCGTATACTTCTACACTCTATTCAAAAGTAGTCAGTAGCAATGTCAGAGTCTTATTTTTTCTCACCTGAGTTCAATGAAAGTTGCTTATTTTTAATGTCACCTTGCATTGCTCCACCGATTGGAACAGTTGCTTGGCCTTGTCAGCTATGTCTGACCTGATAACTACTACGTGCTTTTAACGGTAAGGAAGCTAAGCTTGTTAAAAATACCTCCTTTTGAGACTGCATTATTTTCTGAGGCCCCTGTTGTGCTTATTGTAGCATTTCCAAGTATTTGTGCCTTTTGACGACAGGGTGGAGGGTATAGCTTATGGACGCAACTTGGATTTAATACTTAGTCCATCGGATTGGAGTGCAGACATTTTTATCATTGTTTGAACAAATGATTACTATTTCAGTTCTACGTACTATCAAGTGAATTAACTGTCGCTTTGGTTTGAAGTTCTTTTGAGAGTACTTGTGAGATGTTTGTGTCTCAATGGCATTCACGATTAGAGGCGCCTGAAATTGTTTTTTTTTTGTGCTCCTCATTGGATGGCACGTTAGAAATAAGTGACAAGTTGGGGTCAAAATGAAGCATAACTAGCTCTCCTAACGGTAAGTAAACAGTTTTGTAATCGGCCACGATGAGTTCACTCGATTAGCCTTTGTTTTTTGTCCACAAATCCATCCAATTTCCCCATAACAAAACCTCCTATTGATGTTAGGGAGAGTAAAAGAGTAAACTTCCTTTCATTTTGATTGTCCACGTTCAAGCTGCTAGCCAAACGCTTTTTCAGGCTGCGCCAGAAAACAAATCAGGGCACTTCAAACTCTCGAATTTTCTCGAGTTCTGCTTGCAAATTGTTTTGTACCGTTTCGCATTCCTTCATTCTAGCATTGTTCACTTTGCTACTTTCTGCTAGCTGTTTTACTATCCTAACAGGGCACTTTTAAACCAACCAACTCGTCTTCGAGAATCAGTTAGCCTTGATATATTGTGCCATTTTTGAATGTACGGTTTCATTTACTTCTTTTATCAGGTTTTGGAGGAGAGTAGTGAGCAAATGTTGAAGAACCTGTAGTAGTATACTGGAATCTGTACCAAGAACGCATTTTGGGCAACTGCTTGTGGTGCCTCATTCACACATAAATTGGAGGCAAAGACCTTAGTGTACGAATGCTTCCCGGTTCCACATACAATGACCACGAGGAGTAATTATTTACCTAAATAAGGGTTTGTATGCTGTCCCAAATGTGCCTTATATTGTCTCTCTGATTTTGTCTGGCGTAAATGCCATTGTTCATACACTGAAGGAATTAAGCACACCACTTGGCGTTTCAACTCTTACATTGTGAATAAGAAATTTTGATCACCTTCGAAAGACACTTAGAATAGAAATTTACACTGCTTTTGGGTAACCACAAAGGGCCAGAATGAATGTGGAAGAGCACTCCTTGAGTGCTCATGACAACTCATTTAACGTCGTTGTGGAGGTGAAATACATCTTGATTGTTGAAATTTGATCCAATTTATAAAGCAAGTGGAATAAATTGGAATCATTGGTTCATCCGCATGCATAGTCATCGGAGGGATTTCGAGGTTGCTTTTGTAGGCGGTAATGTATGCTAACTTGGTGGAGTGCAGTATGTAAGATGCAGCTTCTTAAGTCAGAAACTTTTGACTTTACACGTGGATTACGATAGGTAAATGTTTTCATTTTTAGTTGGAAATCCTTCATCTTTCAGCCCTAAGGTTACCACCACATGCTTAGAGGTTCAATTGGAGTGAAATCAGATCATGCTCTTTCCACCGGAGTCCAATCACTGCGAGGAAGTAGAATGCCATTGACCTGTTCTAGGCCTCGACTAGCTTAGGTTTAGAGAGGCCTGGATTTGTCTTTCTCTGAGTCCACCCCTATATTCCTCTTGATGTGGTAAGTCAGCGAGCACGGGGGTCTTGATGGCCAGTTGGGTGTAAGGGACCACCCAGGCGAGTAGTGCATTTTTTCTCGATGCACTCAGGCTTGAAATGGCAGACAGGGGAGCCAATCACCACGTGGCTAGCTTCCACCTTCAGCCAATGCGAGACTCGGACAGGAGCGCGAATGCACACAGCTGTGCATTTGCGCGCACGGCGCACTAATACGGTTCCACCGCCTGTCGCCGGCGTCATTTTACCACCCGTGTTGCAGACACAAGGCGCGTCAATTCAAACACGTTTACATACATACAAGGTTACCGACCCTAATCCACAACCAGTTTATCATGAGACCTCAGGCCTCACCCATGTGAAAGGCGGTTCGGTAGATTACTAGCAAAAACACCAAATTGAGTTTGCAACAAGTCATATCAATTGACGCTATGCTCCCCTCCCTTCTTTTCTCCCTTCTCTTCTTTGCTGATGAGTTCATGTGCGCGAGTGAACCCCTACGGAGTTGGTATCCCTATCGTCCACAGTCGATGAAACAGCGACGGGAGTCAAATTTCGCTGGACTTCAATCGCATTTCGGAGAGCTTGAAACCCCTGCCTGCCCATTGGAATGTCGCTGTTTTGCAAGGACCGTCACATGTTCCAGCGAGAACCTGAAGGATCTTCCTAGAAATCTTCCACTCGACACGGAGAGAATGTAAATGACATTTTTTACATACACTAGTGTCAGTGTAAGAAGAGCGCTTGAGTCGTGCGAGTAATATCATTTCTCTAGTTATAAAGTAGGTACATGTCAGAAGTGCGAATTCTTGAGACATTCCCGAAATGTCCGAAATGGCGAATCCTTTAGGCAATGTTAGTGAATGCATAAACCTTTTGAAAATGACGCTAAATGCAATAATCTACAGCTTATAAACAATCTTCCAGCTCTCTGTACACATTGTCACAGTGAACAACCTTTCTCATGAGTCTCATCGACAAACTTACGTTGAGATTTCAGTGAAATGACAAGGGCTAGTTAATAATGCCATTGAATTAGGCATTGCACTGGGAAGTAGGTTAGCTTTTTGTAGTTAAAGGTTGTAAATTCCGTAGTCTTTGTCTCTGCCGGTTTGTTTGTACACCTTGTCCTATTTGTCAATGTTAAAGACGTTTTCTAAAGGCCTTTGGCATGCCGCAACCGGGAAGCGATAGCGAAGAAGGTCTGTTATAGTCATATTCTCTCCCTATTTCTCACTTGGATTCGCATTTATTGCTAGGAAAAGTTCGCTCTCAAGCATCTTTAAGTGCCCCAAAATACCACCCGAAGCATGTCAGGTTTGGGAATAAGAAATTGACCGTGAAGAGCTGGGACAATGCCCTCATTTTCTCGCCGCCAAACAACGTGGGTGGTCATGCCATTTGGGCTTATAAATCACGGCACTTTGAAAAAAATATTGCCCTTGCGGATTGCATTTGTATTGGCGGATGTCATTAATTATGCACCACTTAGACGATACCGGTTGACAATTCATAACATTACTAATATGTTTTGATAGGTTTGGTATTCCCCTGCCTTTAAGCACGATGCAATTCACAAACCTATCAAGCACCAGTTTGCAAACATTCAGAACGAGTTCTGCCCTAATGGACGTTAACATTCATTCTATAGTCCAACGGTACTTTGGAAACCTGGTAATTTAGACAACTTTCCGCTTTTTGGCACGATTGCGGTGGGAAAATCCCTTTCCCCTTTGTCATATTGTTAACCAATGAGCTCTGACTCCGGTTTTTTTATTACCTGTTTTAAAATTACATTCCTACATACCTTCAAATGCCAAATTAGATCCT